ACTGAAAGCTATATTCCTGCAATGCAATGGCATCCCATCCAGGATGCCAGTATCCCCTACTTTCTGCCCTTTGCTTCCTGGGATCCATTCATCCATTTCCCATGCCATAGATGGGGTCATTGGGCTACATAACACATTAAATAAGTGATTTTTATATACTTATTTAGAATAAATTATTCAAAGTAATGCCTGATGTAACAAATAAAAAGATAAAAATACGCAGTCCATTACAGAGTTTGTGGCTATTTACAGGAGATGAAATTGTTGGTGCTACCATTCACTTTGACAAGCTCAAGAAGGATGAAGTGGCGATGTTACTGAAAAACATAGAGCTTTATGATACTAACATGACTGTTTTGAAGAAACAGGATCTGAAGGCCCATTTGCGATCTCCAGAAGATGTAAGTGAACCTCCTCTGATGGTTAGGTTTAATTATTGCTGAAAATGCTGTTCTTACCCCTTACTCTCTCTCTTGTAGTTACTCAAGGACTCCTACGACAAACTTTTCAATGGAAAAGTCAAGAAGTTCTTGAAAGATGAGTTACCATCTGGAACTGAGAAAATATCACCTGGTGAAGTCAATGCCCCAAGCCTAAAGGGAAAACTACTTGACATAAAGACACCAGAACAAGATAACACTGCTTGCCTCAGTTCACCTGATGTAATGTGCTCAGTTCCAAATGTGGATTTTCCAAGCATAAGTATGAAGAATGAAAACCCTGATTTGACTGTAAACTCACTAGCACCTGATGCAACTGTGCATCTCACCAAGCCTAGGGTGAATGGGTCAAAAGTCACAATGCCAACAGTGGGAGTACCTGAACCAAAACTGAGAGGACTAAGTTTGGATAGAACTAATGGATCCCCTGAAGCCATCCCTACATTTCCAAATTTAAATGGAAAGGATGTAAATTTACAATTACCGAATAGAAAAGTAGATTTGTCAGGACCAAATATTGACACCAAAAGTCCAAACGCAAATATGAATTTAACTGCATCTGAAGTGGACAGAGGGGGGTTACAATACAAAGCACCAAAGTTTAAAATGCCACAATTTAATCTACCTGAAATCAAACCTAAAACATCAGATATGCACATCCGACTTCCAGATGTGAAAGGAGACATGGATCTATCAGTTCCTGACCCTAAGGCAAACATTAAGACCCCTCACATGAATATGAAAACTCCTGATGTTGACATCGATGGGCTATCACCCAAACTGAAGAT